ACCTACGCTAGCATACTTCATTTATCATTCTTTCTGTCAAAATTTACATGACATTCATTGGAAGCGACAATGCCATTGTGGTAAGTTATTAAAGTACGGTATACAAGGTTATAAATCATTAATTTCACAATGCAACTAACAGGGATATTGATTGTCTCTTGTATATCTAATTGTCAATTCTGATTGAAGCGGGCATGTTGTCATCGAATCTGTGACAGTGGCTTGGTGTATTAGCGTATACCCGTGAAACAATATCATTTATCTTTCTCCATATAAAATGGGCTTATGTAGTAAATGAGCATAACACATCGTAAGGAAAGACAACTATGAAAACTGGGAAAATTAAGTCGGTCACTTGAATGTGCACGGTTAAATTAAGTCGGTCACCTTAGTGTGCACGGTTAAATTAAGGTGGTCACTTTAGTGTGCACGGTTAAATTAAGTCGGTCACTTTAGTGCTTAACGGTTAAATTATCGGTCACTTTAGTGTTTAACGGTTAAATTAATTCGGTCATTTTAGTGTTTAACGGTTAAAATTGAGTCGGTCACTTTAGTGGTTAATGGTTAAATTAAGTCGGTCACTTTAGTGGTTAACGGTTAAATGAAGTCGGTCACCTTAGTGTTTAATAGTTAAATTAAGGCGGTCACGTTAGTGTGCACGGTTCAATTAAGCCTGTCACTTTAGTGTGCACGGTTAAATTAGGTCGGTCAGTTTAGTGCTGAACGGTTAAATTAAGGCGGTCACTTAGGTGTGCAAGGTTAAATTAAGGCGGTCACTTTAGTGTTTAACGGTTAAATTAAGTGGGTCACCTTAGTGTTTAATAGTTAAATTAAGGCGGTCACTTTAATGTGCAGGGTTAAATTAAGTCGGTCACTTTAGTGTGCACGGTTTAATTAAGCCGGTCACCTTAGTGTGCACCGTTAAATTAAGTCGGTCACTTCACTGTGCACGATTAACAGCACATGGATTATGTGTCCATTGAGAAGGTTAACAAGCTTTCTCCCATGATCATTCTTCGTTTATGTTTTCTTGTCTGATTCTCTGGGTTCGTTAAGGTATGATTTATTACATTAAAAACTTATCCAAAATAGAGATAGACAGTTTCTGTTTTTACCGCGTTTTCTTTATATTGGACCCCTGTGGAAAATTCACTCCAAATATCACCATCCTAAATACAAACAAAAAGATGAATGCCTATGATAGTACTATATTAAATGTGAGGCGGAATCACATTGACCTATGGGGTCACGCTTTTGTTAGTAACATCAGTAAAATATATATCGATTTCTTCCGCCGTAAAATTTGTCCGCTAATTTGGATTCCAATGAAACTACACATGAGTATTCGAGCGCGTGACTAGATTTGTAAGACACATTTCTTTTAGCAGCTGTGCATCCAAGTTGACCGCCGCGGCCTATGATTTATAAACACATTTATAGGTGTACGCCAGGGGGATGCCACTGGTCCCTCCTATGTCAAATATTGCTTAAGGATCCCCGTCCGAGGCAGAGCAAACCACTAAAGAATACCACTGTCGTTTTTCAGTGTTAGAGTACCTGCCCCTGATTACTATTTCGAAAATTGTTGTTATCTTCCCTTGAATAGATTTCGTTTGAATAACGTTTCGACTACAGAGTTGTGTCCCTTGCGTTGGAAATCTCAAATCGCGAAAGTGTGGGGAAAAAGTTGTCGTAACGATGTAAACAACTTCGTCGTGGCAGTCATCGCACGGCTGACATGCAAGCCCAACGTAAAAACGGCCGTTTTAAATGTAAACTAAACCCATTAACTGACACTAATAACAACAACGATGTCCAATACCAACTGCTAGACCACGACTATGCGACGAAACAAAGTGACACTCATTCACACATTGAAGAGACGCTGATTACTGAGGCCCCTACTACTGACAATTTGACTGATGAGCCGACACCAACGTCCGATGAGGATCCCTCCAGTACTAGTGATCACGAATACGCCAATAACTTTTTAACCTTGTTGCAGGGTTGATATGAGTGGTTGAACACGGGGTGTTATCTGAATACCTGGACCAGAAAAGTTGTAAGGAATGCGGTACTAGGCTACGGTCGTGCAATACCCAACAGACAAACATCTGACAAACTAACTAGTCGTCTGCAGAGGGTCCAGAACACTGCAGCACGGCTAGTTACTCGTACTCGAAAGAGAGAGCCCATCACACCTGCGCTTTATTCATTGCACTGGTTACCTGTACGATACAGGTCGCAGTACAAAATTCTGGTATACACATACAAAGCACTGAATGGAACAGCTCCTCAGTATCTACAGGAACTTGTTACCCTATATCAGCCGTTAATATCACTGCGGTCGGAGTCAGAATCTTTGTTGTGTGTCCCAAAATCTCGTACTGTGACCTACGGAAACAGATGGTTTCGGCTACGTTGTGGAATAGCTTACCATCTGTTATTAGGAAGTCAAATACCCTGGCCAAGTTCAAGAGGGACATAAAAACTCAACTCTTCACGTCTGCATTTTAGAATCTTTGCAAAGACGTCATGTAAATACCACCCTTTTATTTGTTCAATTATGTGCACATTGCTTGTTAAATGTATGAAAGTGATTGCAAGCCTTTGTTGTTTGTTTTCACAATTATAACCATTACTATTATCCATATGTTGTAAAGCGCCT